AAAAAACGCAAAAAGATTTTTCTACTCACTTATTCGTCTCGTTCTCGTTTTGCGCTTTTCTTAAAAGTTCAAACGAAGAATCAAAAAAATATCTCCATAACGTCCAGTCATCAGGACTAAAAAACAACATTTATAATATGAAATGGTAAATCATTTACTGCATATTTAAAGAAACGTTCTGGAACATACTATTCCATATCTTTTGCATACTTATTCTGCGAAACTTTGCTGACTTATTTAGCGCTGATATTGTACTCGTAGGGTTTACTGTACGGCTAGGACAAGCTGAAGATATAGTCAGTTCAACTTATGTTGATCTACACATTGCGGACGTCCCAAGACGGGCCACAATCCCCTACGAACGCTTAGCAACTGTTTGAGATATGACCCTCACACATCTAAACGTACTCGTTCTTCAGTCCTTCCATAGTTCTGTCAACTACAGCTTGATAATTCCCAGCGGATAGGAGAAGACCAAGTCGTCGTGCCATCAGAAACGTAGGCGGTGTAGACAAAAGCGCCCGAGATTCCTCCGTTCCAAGAAGTGCTTCAGCTTCGCCAAATTTCATCAATCCTTCCAAGACCATGGCATGCAGTTCAATCTCTGAATTTTCCATTTCCGAATGTTGACATTCTAACAACAGCAAAGAAAACTGCGCTATTTATGAATCTCCTCGTTAGTACATTTACCTGCGCCTGCTTTGTATCCGTGCTTTCCCACATGGTTCTCAATCATTCTAGCAGCCAAAGGAAAAAACATTTTTGAGCCCATTTCAGGGTTTTCGTGAGCCTGAAATTGAAACGAATATTTGATATCAGGAACAGAATGAAGGGCCTCTCAGCTTGACTTTCAGCGTAAGTTTACGACAGAACCATGTTAGAGTTAATTTGTCCAATTATAAAGATATGAGTGTAGTTGTGATGGCGATCGTAAAAGTTTAGAAAAAAGTAGTCCAGAAAGAAAGGCGACAGACGTTCTCAATGACCATGCCTCATAGGCCTAGGCGATTGAGAATGTCGGTTTCACAGATATTTCTTCTCCTTCAAACATCCTTCTGCCATGGCACTCTAACAAAAAGGACGAAATGTCGTCCTTTTTCTCCTTATTTTTTACTGATATTTCTTCTCCTTCACACATCCTTCTGTTGAATGTAAACGTAAACCTCAAAAGTTGTCAGAGTGCCATAGCAGAAGGATGTCTGAAGGAGAAGAAATATCTGTGAAACACTTAGTTTATTGTAATCTGCGTTTGTCAAATAGGGTACTTAAAATGGCTCAAAATCTCGATATCGAATTATGCTGAAATCGATAGGGATGATTTGGCATGCTGACTGAAAATCGTATTCATTCCACATGCTAAAGCCTTTCTATAGAAGTAAGAAAACAGCAGATCAAAATCCCCCAAAAATTGGCATGATGGGGTCACTTGGTATACTGATCACGAAGATTTTATTCATTCCGAATACTAGATTCTGTAAAATTACGGTGATACGGTCAGGATCAAAATCAGAAATTCGCCTTGAAAGTGTCCAGGTACGATAACTTGCCATGCTGATCACTAATATGATATCCGCTCCACACGACTAGCTCTTACTATAGAATTGGGGTGACCTAGCGAGCGGATAAAATCTTTGAAAAATAACTGATTTCCGCAACTATCGGATCAAATTAATCCACTGAGTCTGTTTCAAGGAATTCCTTGCTTCTGACCTTCCACCGTCTACCTACGTAACACTACAAAAAGGCCTATGTGATTATGTTCGTGAAGTTACAAGTATTAGTACAAGTATTAGTATGAAGTTACAAGTATCATGTCACATCCCCTATGGGTAAAGTCTGAGCAAAACCTGAAATTCTGAGTTTTTCCAAAAAGTTAGGATAGCGCCGCAGAAAAAAAAAGAATGGGAAAAGAGATGTCGGATCACAGTAAGATGTAAAGTAATATCATCCAAAGAAGTTTCCTGTCATTAATGCAGAGATGCAAAAGGCCAACTAACCTGCATTACAATACTCATTACTCCCCAAAAAAAGTATGGGGAATTATTGAATTCTTTAAAGAGCCGCATTGCCACTAATTGCTGATTTTTAAAGGACCTGAATTGATACAATTACCAAAAAAAGAACAAGGTAATTGAGATAAACGGACCTGTTTCTGACATGAGCCATGAACAGATGTGTGAGATTCTGTTCTGTTGGAGAAACAGCAACCGCTCGCTCATACAAGGTTGTGATTCGATCCGGACAACCTGCCTCCTACAAAGAAAAACGGTAAATGCTATTTTCAATTTTTTTATCCTTACGAAACACATCGCAGGAATGTTGAGTAAGCACAGCATTTAGTATATACAGCGAATATAAACCATCATAACTTAAATGAACGCGCTTAACTTCTCTTAATTGTGTGGGTATATATATA